AAGACATTTTAATTGTGAGCATTGCGGTATGAATTATTGCGTGCTCCTTTAAAAATGAATAGAATACAACTGAAATAATATGCATGGTTAGCGAGTGAAAATAACATGTGTGATGGCAAAATGTTAATGATGTCTAGTGTAGTACACATTCCAGGTTTCCAATACTGATCATGTATCAAAAAATAAAGTTGTTTCGAATATAAATCCGATGGATAAACATGTTATTAAAATAACGTCGTTATTTTTTTAAACCGCGGTTTTTAAAATATTTTTTTTTGCTTTATGTGATAATTAATTCCCTCCTATCACAATCACGAGGCAATAACCAACCAAACGTGTGGGTCACGGGGAGGGGGGGGGGTGTGTAGTGTGCACGTGCTGTTATCTTTTTAATACCGTAAATCCATATTCTTAGGTTTTTTCGGTAAAAGGTCACGTAGGCAAAAAACATTAAAATTAATAAAAGTAAAATAAAATAAAAAATCACGACGTTTCGGAGGCAACACAAGCTTCCGTCACAGCCACGACAGCTGTATCAAGTAAAAGGCTTCAAATCTAGAATTACCGTAAATCCGTTTTTTTACGACGGTTTTTGCGGTCACGTGGCCAACTGAGTCATTAACCCTTAACGAGGTGAGGAGCAGCTGATCATTAAACTCCACCTCGGTGCCCTGAAAGACATTTTAGAACCTAAACAAATTCTCAAGCGCGGATTAATCCGCAAGTCAGACAATTCGCCACGGGTGACCACGGCAGAGTCTGGCACACATTTTAAAGCAGGTAAAACACATTTTAACAAACTTTTTTTTTTTATACATCACAAGTGCGAAACAAACTCCAAACAAAAAAACCGTCAAGGACTGCGGTTGATTTTGATTATAAACCTTCGCTATTGTGCTGCTTCAGGTTTAAATGCGTGTCTTCCCCACATTTGAAAGCAGAGGGCAGCCTTTTCCTTCTGCAAAGCACCCTGCCCCTAAGTGTCTGACCTGGTTTCAAGAAGAAGTAGATGGCCGATACTTAAGGCCTCATGCGGTACCAAGACCTCCACTGCATTCTGGTAAAATTGCCTCCTGGGACCAGAGGAAGATCTCGACTCTTCCCGAGAGGAGGACATGGGGAAGGAGGTGGGAGCATGGCATTGAGGTGGAGGGTTGGGCAGTCTCAACATTCAAGATGTATTTTTAAATAGGGCCCCTGCATTAATAAAACAACGTTGATAAGCATAAGCAGAAGTCCATATTTTTTCTCCTGGCTTTTCCAGTTTCCTCCGCGCGGCTAAGAGACCCACACAGTGTGACTGGTATTGGTCAAACAATCCAATGTTGAAAGAAAATTCCGAGCAATGTGCTCAATTGGGATTAGAAATAAACAACAACCTGCAACAAGCTTGGTCAGGACCCTCCTGGAAAGATAGGCTCGAGACGATAATAATGATGTATGCCTCGAGTTTCCTGGCTGGCTGCTTGCTGGGACTCCTCTCCTCCCCAAACAATCACTCGCCGCTGTGAGCGGTTGCGGGCAGTTGCCAACCGATAACTTGCAGGGTAAAATTGCGACACGGGATTCTTTTTTAAATCCTTTATATTAAGTTCGCTTGCTTGCTTGGGACCGTTGCATATCTTTCGGTCGTTTTTTAACCCACTTCCCGTGATCCAATCGAGCTGACATTTTCCACACAGACTCGTTGTGCGTGACAATTAATGTTCGTGAAAATTTTTTTTTCCAAAATTTTACACTTTTTAGGACAAAAATATTATATTTAATTACCAATTGCTTAATGCTGCCATGCAATCATCTGACCCATAGGTGGCAGCCATCTCAGGCCAGAGGACGAGAGGACTCTAGCCACCACGCATATAACCGATTTATAGTGAAAAACTTTGTTTTTACGGGTTATACTTGTTAAACGTCGGATTGAGAGATTGAAACGGCGGAAGAATTTCGGGAAGACGAAGCGGTAGATGTGATGCCGAAGAGGGGGGGGGGGGACAGCCAATGCAGAAGACCGACCACGGTTAATTAACAAATTAACCCGTAAAAACAAAGTTTTCATTATAAATCCTTTATATGCGTGGCATCGGGGCGGCTAGAGTCCTCTCGTCCTCTGGAAGCATTAAACAATTGGTAATTAAATATTTTAAAAAAATTCCCTAAACAGTGTACAATTTTGGAAAAAAATTTTCACGAAAATGCATTGTCACGCACAACGAGTCTGTGTGCAAAATGTCAGCTCGATTGGATCACGGGAAGTGGGTTAAAAAACGACCGAAAGGTTTGCACGGTCGTAAGCAAGCAAGCAAGCAAGCGAACTTAATATAAAGGATTTAAAAATCGCTCAAACTTTTCAATTCTGGCTCCCACCTAATGGCATTTACTCAGCCAGAATGTTCATCGAATCCTAGAGAATATTTAAAGAAAAGGGGCCCAGCACATTATTATCTTGACATTTTATTGCCCGATGATGCTGGATGCAATTACCAGCGAAACGTCGTACTCAAATTGTAAATGTTGTGGTTTCACGCTTCAACACACCGGTGGGCTAAAGCAGTGAACTATTTGTCTTTTGTCAACGTGACACTTTTTTACTGATTGGCCGTGTCGGGTGGTGGAGGGTTACGACACATTTATAAATAACGCGATCTAAACCCAAAAAACGTTGATTATGAATAATATTGGTCGCGACAGCCTACACGTGTTAAATTAAAAAGCAGGTTACTTTTAGTACTCTGAGAACAGGTTTGTGTGAGAAGAGTAAAGATATTTAACAGGTTTCTCTTATCCATTGCAGAGCAATGGGTTCTCTTAAAGTATTAATAATAGAAATATAATATAAACAACGACCTTATACACACCCACACATATGAAAGTCACGAACTAGACAAACCAGACCTGACTGGACGACTGATTCTATGCTGTAGGATTCTGATGTTTATTACAAGTTTGAGCATATGTTTAACACAACACAGGCATTGTAAAACATAACAGATGTAAGCACTAACTGGCCCAGTACCGTATTACTCAACAACATTTTTAAATCTACTCAAAGCTTTTAGCGTCAGGGACATGAAACACAGGACGGCACATGCACTATATAAATAATAATAATATGAATTCCAGCCACGCTCAATCCACCAATGGATAAAGACCTGCGCACATCATGCTGTAGTAGGAGTGTTGTTGAACAATACTTCACCACACCGGTCACTTCGGGTTGGCTAACGCGGTGGTGGGAGGGGGCATAGGACTTGATCTGACATCACTCACCACCAAAGTTTGCCACGGCCGGTAATCGAACTTGGGCCACTTGGGGTCATCGTTCATCGCGCTCGCCCAGGGGTCGGGGCAACCTGCGGCTCTTCGAGGACCTCTGCTTCGTTGTCCATCAAGGACCACACTCCGTCTCGTGCTCG